TTATATAAAAGGTAGAAATACTAATGGGAAAAAAGGTTGAAAACTGCTGCATATTATTGTGATAATCAGGCAGGATGGTTGTGTTTCACAGATAATTATAAAGTGGATATAGACTAGGTATTTTAGGCAAGGTAAATAAGTCAACGCGTTTTCAAACCTGCCCGCCGTTTCCTTTTTGCGACCTTGAACGGCCTGACACAAGGCGGTCATTCCGTATTTGATTTTTTGAGGGTCAGTTGATTGTCCTCTGGGTTGCACGAATATCAGGTTTTCTTGTATTTGCGTCTTTTTTGGCTGTAGCAAATTCGCAAAATCAATGTCAAATGCGTTTATTGTGCTTACTGTGTTTTGTAGTGTACAATTTGGCTCTTTTGTTGCTACGTAACTTAACCTGGGATACCAATTACCCTACTGAACCTCACTCTCCTTGTTTAAAATTCGTTGGGGTCCGCAAAACTGCGTATTCATTATAAATTATCAGTTAAAGATACTATGAATTTGTGTGAATTCTTGTTTTCTGCAAGAATTAAGACGACATGACGAGTAACCCGTAATCCCTAAATGCTTGTAGTCCTTTCTTCGGTTACTGAAGTATTATCGCATGAAATGGCTGTTTTTTCAGTAATTAACGAGTAATGTTTGTGGTGATTTATGTTCCAGAAACATTTCGGTCGACTTAAGTGAGGCGTTTCAACGCATAATACTGAGCAGACGTTTTGGAAACTGGATTGAATTCTATGGTGTGTTTAAGGAGTTCCAAAAAGTATGTATGCATAATTTCATCCTTTTTCAGACCATCCGTACACATAACATTCACTGCGAAAGTAAACTGCTAAAGGACGTGCGATTTAAATACAGTTTTGTGGTGTTATGAACTAGATGCAGGCACTTGCGAGTGCAATTGTCGAACATTTATGGCTTGTCGTTATCCCTGACGTCATATAATACTGACATATGTAAAAAGACCAACTCTTACAGGTAAGCTTAATCAACTACGAAATAAACTAATTAGCTCATCACATACTTAGACCATGCAGCCTATGAAAGTTAAATAGCACGCTTAACTTCCATTACAATACAACATCATTACCCAGACGGAGTGAAGAGTATATACGAATCCAGAGAAGCCAGAAAGTTCATAAACAACAGATAGTTGAAAAATATGGTGAATACTTCGCCATGGTGGTGTAGAAAAAAGTAGACAATTATCACTTAAAAATCAATAATTAGGTAAGACTGCCATTTCTCTTCCTGTAGTCCTATCTACGATCAGTATATTCAGATGAATAATTGGAGTGGCATTGTTTCCTAATCACATGGTCTCCGGAATCAAGCATATAATAACTAAAAAGATGTAACACTTGGAGAAGGTCGGAAGTGGTGAACGTGGAGATATTCATTCAATCAAATGGCATGAGTCAGTGTTGCAGACGCGCTCATTATGTTTAACTTATTTATATTCACATTAAATATATTATTCTATCCCAATCATAAATGTGTTCTTCAGAAGTACTAAGTATTGTTATTTGTCGCGATACGATGGGTCAGTGTAGATAGTGATGCGATTTTCACGTGAGATCTTGCAGACTAGGCAATCAAACGATAAATTTACCGTTATCGGACAACGTTTATTATGAAAGTAGTATTAGTACCGAACTAGACTATACACATACTGAAAAGATTTAAAGTGCGAAAAACTACAGTTGTTATATTTATATCATATTTAGATAACTTATTAGATGAATAAACGCGGTAGTGGTCAATACAAAACACAGTTATCGTCAATGTGTGAATTGTTTCTCCGCATAAACTTCCATATTAAGAAATTCGCCAAGTCGTTCACCTGCATAGACTTGATTATTACAAAGATTTGAGCCTTCCAATTAGTTGACAGAGGTCATAAGTTGTATAACAAAATGTATGGATAGCTTGCTCTATGCAATTCTGAAAAACAACAAATCAATCGTGAAAGAAAAGATTAAACCTCGTTATCATTATCAAATTCCATAAGTAAATGAAATAGCAATTGATAGGATGTACCTGTACGTGTTTTACTTGCTGTAAACAGTGCTCTTCATTTTCTAACCTTCCTACAATTTCATCTAGTTATTCGGTATTAACAAACAAACGAAGGGACTCACAAACTTTAATTAGTTATATGAAATTTGAGAGAAACCCAATTACAACGTTCATAATACTGTTTACATACAATAATGAAATAACTGGTAACCACTATTTAGCGATTACTCGTCAACATGCATTAACACTTTGTTTATGAATTAGTCAGTGATTTTGGATTCTGTTAACAGAAATTTATATTTTAACCCTATACGAGACATCGTAAAATAGTATTATCTACAACATGTTTTAGTTACCATGCTCATAACAAACACGCATCGCTTTACTTAAGAAGAGTATTTGGCAAACTTTTGTGGCACTTACAGTAATGTTCTACATAATTTCTGTATAAATTCAGAAAGCGGACAGAAAAATCTATCAACGCCAATTGTTACTAACATAATTTTTTCCCACATTACGTAATATCATATCAGTCCAGTTAACAACGATGATACTTATCATGGATTAAACTGTTTACGGCTGTATATTAATAGTTCATATCGTAATGTAGCACGTCATATATTGACGTCCACTTTGAAGCAGGAGCGATCTGAAACAACAACACTACAGTGAGGACCGGTAAGTGCCGTCGAAGTAAGAACACAATGTACTGGTACAACAGATATATTTGTAAAATTGAAAGACACGGTTGAGTGCAAAGGGGGAAACTTTCTACAGAATGGTTTTATTCATTGTCCTGCTCGTTCAGACCACGTAGGGCTTCTTCCTCTATTTCCAGTGCGTTTACTCTTTGTTGCCCTGCAATAGAAAAACAAACTCCCATTAGGAACGTCGCATGGAATGATTATTATTTTACCATTACAAGATTCATGAATAGTTTGACTCTCAATTACAATTTATAACAACTACTAACACCCACGTTCATCCCCATACAACCAATAAAGGGGAAATAAAGCGAAATTTCCCCGACTTTTACCTTAAATATCCGACGAATTTCCGATTTTCACCCTAAATATCCGACGAATTGTCTATTTTTCTACTACATGCACACCGATGTAATTTAAGCGCCCACTTTTAAAACGCTGCTGTATTTACCCCAACCGCCTCCTGTGTTCACCTTCATTCCCACAACACAGCACACGAATAATATAATGTACGTAATATATGGTATAAGTTCCAGATTTTTATTGAAAACAAAAAGCTTATTATTGTACAACGTCATGAGCACTTGGCAGATGGTAGAGCATCAATGTTCCTTATGTAATTGCAACTGTCACGGACCAGATATTTCACGTATTGTTTCTTTCCATCAGGCCTTTTGGACTATGGAGACTCAAATAATTCTTGTGAATTCTAAAATGGAATGAAGAAGAACGTTACTACATCTAGGAAACTTGTTTTGCACAACAAGGTACTTGAAGCTGAACTTACGGTTATATCCTTAAACACGGAAGACTCCACCTATAGATAACGGGAAAACAATAATCACTTTAAAGTCGTACGTACGTGTTCTTTCTTCCGTCGATGACGCTTCTGTACTTTGTCTCTCATGTCGTGAAAATAACTTTGTGTAGCCATGTCATATAGTTTTGCAAGGTCTTTCTCAGTGACAGATGACGACAGGGATCGATTAGTAAATGCACCTGAAGTTTAAAAACCTTATTTATCTTACTTCGTACGCAGCCATAAAACCGGGACTTCTGAATCGCTCGTTTTGATGAAGTACTAAGTAGCGTGAAATTAATGGCGACTTCAGGTTTCATGATGTAGGACAGAAGATATCGCATGGAGGTTTTAGGATCATCATCCATTAAACGAGTCAACATGGCCATCTGTAATAGGAATGAAGGATAAAAATCATGTTGTGTGCTTACAAATCTGTCCCTCACGTGCAGGCGAAAAAGCGACATTTCCCCTTTATTTACGCTTTTGTCCGCTTTATTCCCCTCTTTTTTCGCTTTTATTTCCACTTTATTGGTTGTTTGGGTCACTACCATAATAAGGGAGGTAAGTCATATGTAAATTATTCTACAGCTTGTTTTTGCTTGAAACTGTAATTTTGGTGTATTTTTGACTTGATAAATGATGAATTTCAATTGCCTGAGTTTGCATTGTTACAAATTACCAAGTTAGGCCGACTAAACATTCATCCAGGTTGTCAGCTGCAAATACGTCAGGCAACCAATAGACTGCAATAAACGCCATGTAACACGCATAAATATTACAAAAATTAACATGTGACGGAAAAATACTGTGATTAGCAGACAAAAAACGACGTTAGAAATCCACGACAACATGTAACACATAAGCGAGAATCAATGACATGACTTTTCGACCATGCCAGAGAGAGAGATTTAAGAAATGAAGCTTTAACAGGAATATACTTATGATCAAGTTTGGGCTCTTCATACCAATAAAAAATCTAAAATCACTAGACTTTCGACCTTTAGATTTTTCTAGAATCACTCTAATACCATACATTGCGGATATGAGTTTATTTTCCTTTGTTATTGTACACTATCTGCTCGACCTTAAAGTTTGTTCATGGCCTCGAGTCCAAGTGGTTTTTTAGTTCGTTTCAGTTTTCGTTATAGTTTACGTTCATCACGGCACATTGCTAACGATTCACGCTTGTTTTTGTCCCAGAAACTATCTTGCAAGACACGAAACATTTCTTATGTTTCTTGTTCGTAGCTGATTCCCATTTAGTACAGCTTCATGCAGACATTTTTTCTGCCATACCCAAGCAACTAATAAAGGGGAAATAAAAGTGGAAAAAGGGGAGATAAAGCGGACGAAAGCGTACGCGTATTGCACTATTGTGTACAGAAGACACTGAAGTAACTTAGTATTTTCCTATGCAACAATACAAATAACGCGTCCATAGTTCATTCTAAAATCCAAATACTGAACGTGATACTATGCCTCAAAATTATGAGTTTTATGATTATCTGTACAATCTTGCTCTACCTTGCATCTATTATCCGACATTTTCTAAGGTTTGGTACCTTCATCATACTTACTTTTAAAGTTATCTAAGAGCAATTCAACTCTGACTAATGCTTTAAGAGCAGCATTTGTACAGGTAGTAGAATTGGCATAAAACCCATTTTTATTTGTTCACAAAACTACGAACCATTGAACTTGTAGGTGGAGAATCAACATCCAGGATTTAGCGAACAGTTTATCATTCGCTTGTTACAGCGTCTTGGAGTCAACGATGATATAAATCTTCCAGAGACATACCTTAGAATTGCTGGTTTACACACTCAACGTCAGTTCTTATTTATCAAGCTTTTTAAACGTATTTAGTTTGTGAAAGCATGGAGAATAAAGGGATTAATCGGATCGAAATTTTTGCCAACGTTTTGAAGTTGTGTTTAAGTAAAATACCGGACGAGATATCTAGTAATAACGGCTTTACCAACCTAATAAGGTACATCATTTCCTTTACTAGTTTTTAGAGAGATTACAGAGATAACAGATAAATTTTTGGAATCGTTACACTGTCATGATAAACAGATCTTGCAACAAAGAGCGCTGTGCAATCTTAAGTTTGAGTTTATTCGGTCATGTAAGCGATTCAGCGAAACCTTAAAAGCATATAACCGTGATGAAAAGTAAGTAACCCGGTCATGTTTTTGTCACATTTTATTTTGATCAGATGATGTTTATAAAACCATTATACTGTAATAGGAATACTTATGCACCACCATTTGAGTTATTTTTTAACCAGATTGTGAATGAAAGCTCTACATGATTCAACACTATCAGTAATGCATTCCGATAATTCCGCATGCAAAAACTGAAATAATGCAAACAGTTGATTTCATAGCAATTTAAAAGCAGCTTACGTAAGCCTATAGCCATGTTATTCCAGCGCTCCAGCTACCGACAAAAATTTGACTAGACAGCCTACAGTAGTTTGCGTGGTCATACTTTTCCTTTATTAACTTAATTCATATGAAATAAAGTACAGCTAAATAGCAGATCTAGCATGCATTGCTCAAAACTTCGTTGGTATGATGATCCCAACAGTAACTACGTACCGTAGTACTGTCATGTTATACCCTCCCTAAGCTCGTTAATTAGAAAAAACGGGTTTTGCTTAGTATCGATGTTATTATTATAGCTGTAAATCACAAAAAGCGGAACATTGTTTTAAATAATTTGTACCTATGATAACCTGGACACTAATTTCCTGACCTTTAAACACTAGGTGAAGTGAAAGAATTTATTAAATTTTTTTTAATATCAAAAGAATAAAACCCGAATGTGTTTGTAATTTGAAAACTATTAGCTAGTTCCATAATGTAATCAAGACGGTACGTTTCTCCCCAATAACTTTGTGGTTCAAAACTCATAGCCTTGAAAAGTCAACTGTCTTGTTAACCCTTACACCTACAAATCGTTTTGCTACTGTTTCCTTTCTTTTGTTTTGTAAAGTGACAAAATTAGTAATCGCTTATGTAAAGTAAGTAGCTCCATAAATCAAAGTCAACCATCTGTGATTTGTATTTTGCATCTGAGGGGTCTACAGAGACAGTGCTATCATAACTGTAAAACTAGCTAGTAAAACTAGTTGACTGGAATTGGTAGCCTACTTGATAATCTGCTCACACGACTGATCTCTGAGTCCCTATCGGATAAGTATCAAAGAACAGAGTCCCTGAATGGTGTTATCGAATGCTTACAAAATAAATAACGCCACTATCCGTACTCAGTCAAATGATATCAATGAAATACTTATTAGCTAGATGATAAGAATTTAGGTCATAAGATACATTTGACTGTCTTGGAAAGTTTCCATAATTTCGAAGATAGCTATACATTTAAGAATTAATGTCCCATTAAGCTGCTAAACTATTAATGACCTTTATTTTTACCCAATTTTTATTTTCTTAAGAAGTTAATTGCTTTAAAAGATCTTCCTTTGCGAATCCGACCAACAAAATTATCTCTCTGGAAATAATATCAGCCACACTTTTCGAAAGAAACAGATGAGACGACTTGACTTTGATAATAAAAATCTTAAACCGTTACTAAAATGGAATCACTGCTTTTATCAGTCCAGGAATAGGCTTCCCATTTGAAGTCCGAAACTACGTATTTGAGTGAAGAAAAGAATGCATAATGAACAAAGAGAAGGGAAAAAGATTTATCTTTTAAACTCTACTAAAGGTGTAATAGTACTTAGTTGTCTGTCATCAAAAGTACTTGAAAACAATTCTGCCTGTATTGTGAAACGAACAGCCGTTGAGATTCACCTAAGGAAGTTAATTTTGTTATTAGTTAGGTCAATAGACATTGAAGTATTGACAAAAACGTTTCCACATAAATTACTTAACTGATTGGTACACTATTAAGAGTCTATAGAGTCGAAATGTTTGTGGGTATCAATGATCACCATAAATGGATCGAATTTACTTAGATATTGCAAAACGCTCAGCTTTCATGGCGGTATTGCATACTTCGTTAGTTTTGTCAATTATTACAGTCAGAAATATCCGGTTATTTTGTTGGCAATTTTTTGTTAGATCTTGTTTTGCTACTAATAATTAGTAGTTATTTTTGTTTAAAATTCTGTACCTAATGTATTGCGTTTGAATTGTCATTTTATTATCAGCCAAACCTCAGTTATCTTTCGAGCGAATCAACTAGTTGTATGTACAAACACTATTCTTGATGCTCTTCGTTGTGATAAATGACGGTGTGACGACCAACCCGGTTCGAAGTTAGTTGAACACTTCAGAAATGTTAGGAATCCCAGATGGTTTTCAAAGCTATCTGATGTATTACTTGAAACCTCAAAAGAACATAAAAGCGGGTTGGTCACGAAACCAATATTTAAAAGGATACAAAACATATTCTCTGTATTTTCATCTCTTTCTAAACCGATTTTTCATTTTTTTATTATTGTTATCCCTTTATTATTCTTGTGTTTTGTAATTGTCCCGAACGTGACCATTTCATTTTGCGATTCTCTCTCACTTCTATTTGCACACGAGGAATGGAGTGTTAAAACTAGAAGCTTAGGTAAATTCTTCGGTTATTGTCGAAATAATTAAATATAATGCATTTTGTTTGGAAGGTAATAATACATGATTACCTAGCGGTTAATATGTATCCATAGTTTTGATATATGCTTCATGCGCTTTCAACCTGTTTACTTTAGTAACCTGACTGAAAGCCCCTATTAAGTTTGTTCGGTTTATGAAACTTCAAAGTCATTTATCATACTCTATGACTTTCCACTTGTTTTTTTAAAATTAAAATATCAACAATAGTCGAAGCAGAGTTATTCATTTTTTCTAATGCTAAGTACAGAATTACTGAATGACTCAAGATGCTAATCGTACACCATGAAATTCGATCGTATTTAGCTGTTTTAGTTATTGATGATTTAAATATGATATTCGAGCATATTCTGATCATTTCGATTATTGTTTATTTCAATATAATATTCGGGTGTATTTCGACAGTATTTGCTATGTATTCATTCAGTATGGTATTTATGTAAAAACTAGTTTTCTAAATATAACATCATTACTTGATTGATAGTTTCATTTCTTAAACACACAAAGGCTGTATTTAATGTCTTTGAATACCAATTAACAACTAAAGCTTTTGGGAATAGAAAATTCTTCCTCAAGACGCACCTTTAAGTAATTTTTGTGTTCCTTGGAAAGTTGACCATGTTCATAAGTGATCTATTTGGTGGTGGTTGTTAGAATTTATGTAGATTTCAGTCATTAAAATAATGCCCTAGGTTTAAGGTAATAGACTTTGTGGATAGCAAATGTTAGTAATCATCATTTGATTTTCTAAGGTTTATAGTTTTAAAGATAATCGTGACTTCTTATGGATCATTCTCGTACGTAAATACTTATTTATGAAATTAAAATGTTCAAAATTTATAGTTCTTATGGACGGCTGACCAGATACAAAGTCTTTTGAACATCTTCGTTGACTATACATAAACGTTATAAGTAACAATTACATTTATAGTTTTACCTTTACTACACAAAAATACTACTTATTTTTCTACATGGTTCTGCAGAATTTATTTTCCGTTATAACTTATTCAAACTCGCACCACAAGTTGTATTCTTATTAAGACAGGTAAATAGAGCATTTGTTAGTCATCTACAACGTAGTATCAGTCACATATATGCATCGGTCCAAGTTACCATACCTCATTAACACAACAAGATGAATACTAAATTCACACAAGCAGTTACTTCAGTGGTAGTAATATATGAAAAAGGTTGCATATAATGATATGATACAGGCAGAAAGAATTAGTTGGTAGAAAGAAAAGTATAAATCAATTTTAATCTCACAGTTTATGGGACGACAATGAGTGTACACTCTTATGCCATTGTGATCGGTCCTGAGCCATGTCACCCGGAGGCTTTAATCACTGGTAATGGTAGTTGCGCGGACCCCAACCGAGTAGTCTGCATCTACCAGCATGATTCAGACCATAAGCTAGCGACTTCAAGGACTGATGCCACGTTTTGGTTTGACCCCCCTAATTTTCTTTCAACCATCTCCAACACTAGTCAGCGTTGGGCGTCATGGTAATCGGTGGTTGAGCGTGCATAATACGTGCCCCAACCATCTTAGTTGGTGAAGATTTACAACCTCATCAACTGGCTTACAATCATTCCCTAATACTCTGTGTCTAACCTCACTATTACTTACCAGGTGATCCCCGAAGATACAAGCAATATTCCTAAGACATCTGTGATCAAAGCTAGTAACTTACGAGTATTCTGTACCCTTAATGACCACGTTTCTCAGCTGTGATAGAGCACATTCCAACTAAGATAATAATTGACTAAAAGCAAGACTAATGTTAGAGAAATGCTATGGCTGAACGATGAAAGCATTCACACACACTAAATGACAGTTACAGTGACTCAGCAGATTATTGTTCTTACTTACGCCTGTTACCCCCCGTGGAGGAGCATAGGCCACCCATAAACTCTCCCCATCCAACCCTGTCCTGGGCAATCCTTTCCAGTTATTTTCATTTGCTATTCATCTTTTTCATATCTGTTTCCATTTCCCGACGTAGTGTGTTCTTCAGCCTTCCACTTTTCCGTTTCCCTTCAGGACTCCAAGTTAGGGCTTGTGTCGTGATGCAGTTTGGTGGTTTCCGCTGTGTACATTCAATTCGCCTCCAGAGTCTTTTCCTAATTTCTTCATTTGGGACCTGGTCTGTTCTCTGTCACAGTAGGTTGTTGCTGGTAGTATCCAGCCAACGGACATTCAGTATCTTGGGTAGACAATTGTCTATAAATACTCGTACCTTTCTGATGATAGTTGTGATAGTTCTCCAAGTTTTGGTTCTGTACAATAAAACTGTCTTGTTATTCGTATTGAAGATTCTCACTTTGATATTGGTTGACAGTTGTTTTGAGATCCATATGTTCTTCAACTGTATGAATACTGTCATTGCTTATTCAATCATTGCCTGCATCAGATCCACGTTCATTGATGATGCCACCCAGATACATGAATGTTTCCACTACTTCCAGAGTTTTACCATTGAATGTGATTGGGTTGGTGTTCTCTGTTTTGTATTTGAGAATCTTGCTTTTTCCTTTGTGTA